GTAATTTGTCTGTGGATTGTTTGTGTGTTGCTCTGTATATACTCATATTATCTATGAATAACTGTTGGTTTATTTCCTCCTTTTCAGTCTTTATTTCTTTTTCTTATTTAGTTTTCTGGTTTTATTTACTGATCTGTAGATGACTGATATAAAGGTGTGTTAAAGTCTCTTGTTGCATGAGACTTCCTTAATTTCTTACTGTATTTTTATTCCTTTTTTTTTTTATGTCCTTTGAAATTGTGCAGTTAGATGCATAAGACTTGCTGGCTTTTAAATCTTTTTGGGTGATTTCACATGTTGTCATTATTCAATATTTCTCTTTGTCCTTTTTAATGTCACTCACTTTGGACTATGTTTTGTTTGGCGTTCACGCTGTTTCACCCACGTAAACTTGCCTGGCGCTTACGTGGGATAACACTTTCCATTCCTTTATGTTCCGTCTTCCTTTGATGTTTTATTTTAAGAAAGTTCCTTGTAAATAGTTTATTGTTGGTGTTTTTAACTCTGTTGTATAGTTCTATATTTAACCTATCTTATTTACTGAGACTAATTGTACATTTGAACTTTTTTCTACCTTATTTTGTTTTTCATTTGCCAGTGTTTTCTTTTTTCTTATGTTGTAATTTATTGTATTAATAAAGTTTTTCTTGTTTCGTTTTGTTTTTTCTACTGGTTTGAAAGTTATATATTAGTTTGGTTTTCATTTGATTTATTTCTCAAGCTGCCACTAATTCTGTGGAATCTTGGTAGCTTAATTCACCACCTCTAACATGAATGTAACAAGAACTAATTTACTGAATCACTATTGGATATTTATTCTCTATAATGTGATGTTCTCTTCATTGGTAGGCATTTGAACTAATGCAGCGTCTGCCTTTGCTGGCCTTTCCCCTCAGGACGAGTATCGTGTCCGTCTGCCATCCTGTCCTTTATGGCTGGCCCAGTGTCTGACCCACAGGCCCTTCAGGGAGAGACTCAGTGAAGAAGCGTAATTGAGTAAGAAAGTGCTTCTGAGCAAGCAAATCACAGTAGCTTGAGTTGGGGTGTTGTGGGCTCACTTACGATACTCTGGAGGAAATGTAGAGAACTTTCCAGACCTGCATGCAGAAATATGTTTCCCGAATGAGTTAAAGATAAGAGGTGCCTATAACTGATTAGTGAAAAAGTCGGGCCAGCTTCAGAAAGAGAAGTTGGAAAACCTGCTAATCCAAAACTCACCGTAGGAGCCAATGTGGGAAAGCTGGGAGACTGACAACATGGGGAAAATGTAGTTGACAAAAAGGACCTCTCTTCTAGTCCCAGGTCTGCCGCTTTGTGACCCTGGGTTGATGACTTAATCTCTCGGAACCTCAATTTTCTCACCTGTAGAATGGGGATGATAGTTCTTATCCTATGTGATTTCGTTGTTCTAAGTAGCAAATTAGGTCATTACTAAGTGCTATAAAACTATAAGGTCTAGTTGTTAGTTCATAATAATAATCTCAAGAAAAGGTTAGATTTTGTTAGGCATATTCTAAAAGAAAACAATCTTTGGTAGCCATTTAAAAATGAGAGTTTGTTGGTTTTTAAAACGATGAAGCTAAGTGGTCATGAAGAACTAAGCAAGTTTCAGTTATCTGGAGAGTGGATTTATACGGAACAGTTCCACACTCCCTGACTGGGCAGGATGAATCTCCTAGTCCTGGACCGCAAGCTTTGTGACCTTGAGTTACTTCACCTGAAAAAGGCAGTGATCATTGTCTTGTCTGCCCTGTGTGTCACGGAGAGGCTCACTCTGAGTTCACTGATGACATAATCAGTGAAAAAGTGACGTGCAGATGCGGGAGAGAACGGTAACCGTTGCCGTCATCCATAATACAAATTGCAGTGTGGTTAAAGTTAGCCGCTTCACAAATTTAATACGTTTGCTCATGGAGGGTGTGGTAGCCCTCTCATTTTTATTTTATTTGTGTTTTCTTCTTGCCCTTGTGATCTGGATTTCAGAAGGTTACATTTTCTGCTTGTTTTAGATGTCAGTAAATTTCCTTCATTCTGACTTCCTAGTATCCTCTCCCCTCACCCTCAGAAAGTCATAAGGAACTACTTGGGCAGAAAACCCTCTTCTGCCCTTTTCAGCTGGGATATACCGCTATGTGTGAGCCTGATCAGATCGTGTGATGTAGCTGATTGTTGCCTGGTGTGGTTCTTTAGTGGCTTCTGAACTGTTACTGCAGTGGCTGATTGCGTTAGTGTAACTTACCAGGTACAAGGATGATGGCTCCCTCCCCACTGCCAGCCCTGTCCTCCCTCCAATTCACTGCCCCAGGAACGGTTACTGCATTTCCATGTTGATTTATGCAGATCGTCATTGAAAAGGCCTCCGGACCCATGGGTCTGAATTGCCTTGCTATGTGTAAACTTGAAGGTTAATTATAAATCATAGACCAAGGATTTAATTGTAGCAGCCTTTCCTTCCAATTTTTATTTCCTGACTGTGTAACTTGTGTGGCCTTAATAATTATCAGATTAAAGAAGTGACGTGGTTGTGGGGGCAGGGGTCTGACTCTTGACATGCTTGTGTTAGTTTGAGTGTAGTTTTCCCTTTGTTATGAACTATTATTTAAAACATATAGGAAAAGAGTGGAAATAGTAAACACCTGTGTATCCATTACCCAGATTTTATTTTTTTATCCTCCCCCAGCCCTCTTTTTTTTTTCCATTACCCAGATTTTAACAGATTTGAACAGCTTTGCTTTATTTGCTTCTGAATTTTTTAGAAAGTAAATATGTCAGGTGTCGCTGTTTCTTTTATGTTCCTCTCCTCACTCTGTAGCCCCCCCTCCCTCACCAGTCAGTTGTGTTACAGTCAATATAATATGGACCTGTTCTGTTTGTGTACTTGTTCTGCTGTGGATCTCTCCATAAGCAGTACAGAATCTCACATGCTATACCTTTCATGTGAATGGTGTTTTACAGTAAGCATCACTGCAGTTTGCTTCCCCCACCTGTGTGCGAATGACTCGTTCGTATTGATACACAAATTCTATTTCATTAATACAGCTGTTAATTCATAGGTTTCCCTTGTATGAATAAGCCGTAGTTTATTTTCAGCTCTTACTGATGTATATGTGGGTTGTTCCCAGTTTTGTGCTTTTCTGAACAGTGGTGAAGTGTGTGTCCTTGCTCATGTCTTCCTGTGCACACGTGTGCGAGTCCCTCCAGGCTGAGTTTGTGTGGAGAAGTGACGCTGCTGAGCAGTCCAGTCGCTCCCGAAGCCGCCCGGCCGGTTCGCTCCTGCCCTGGCAGCTTGTGGAGAGCACTCGTTTTCTACATCCTTGTTTATAGTTGGTATTTCTCACTAAAACTTTCCCCACAATCTGGTGAGTGTGAAATGGCATCTCATTGTTTTAATTTGGGGTTTTCTGATGAGTGATGATCAATTTTCGTATTTTCATTGACGTTCAGCTTTTTTCTCAAAATTGTTTGTCTCTATCCTTTGTCTATTTCTCTCTTGGTTCATTTATTTTTCTTATAGATTTGTGGATGTTCTTTATATTAATCCTGTGTTAATATTTGCATTGTAGATCTCTACTTCCAGATTCTGGCTTGTCTGTTGACTTTATGGTGGGTTTTTTGGTGTGTTTTTTTTTTCAAAAGGAAGTTGCAATTTAGTATAATTAAATTTAAATATATTAATATTAGATTTGAGTTTAAGAGAATCTTTTCTGCTATCACGATCATATTCTTTCTGTATTTTCTTCTGAAAGCTTTAAAGTTTTCCTTCCCTTTTAGGTCTTCGCTCCATTTAGAATTTAGGTGTTTTCAGTGTGAGGCGAGGATCACGTTGTTACTCGTGGGTGCGAGAGGTCTCAGCGCTGTTTTCTGCGCTGCTTTCGTCACACCCACTTTGCTTTGTTGGCTTCTGCTGGTTCCCGCTTCACGCCCACCCTGCCTTGATGGTTACAGCTTTCCCACGAACACGGTGTCTCTGATGGAATAAGACTCCCACGCCGGCCCCACTCCACACTTTGTTATTGTTCTTCACAGTTATTCGGGCTTTGGTGGGATTTTACTTTTCATGAGAATATGGGGGTCAGCCTGTTTAGAGCCACACAAAAAAATCTGTTGGGATTTTCATTGAATTTGCGATGAAAATTATAGATTACTTTGGAGAGAATTGACATTTTTGCAATATTCTTTTCATTCATGAAAATAATTTTTTCATGCATTCTTCCATGTCCTTTAAAAATACCTTTGAATTTTTTCTGTAAAAGTCTTATATATCTTTTGTTAGATTTATTCCTAAGTGCCTTATAGTCTTCGTTGCTACTGTTAGTAGGGTTTTTTGTGTTATTTTTTTCTCCAGTTATTTTGATGTGTGGGAATGATACTGATATTTTTGTGTGTTTTTTTTTTTTAATCCAGAAACCTTGCTGAACTCTCTTCTTAATTGTAATTGCTTGTCTGTAGAGTCTCTTGATTTTCTATATGAAAAGCATTATATCATCTTCAAAAAGAGGCAGTTTGATTTCCTTTCCCATTGCAGTTTGAATGTCATGTACAGAGTTCAGACTCTATTCTGATCAAATTAGGAGCCATCACAGGTTTCGAGAAGTGACACTTAAATATTTACATTTCAGAAAAAATGATTTTGGTAGCCAGGTACAGGTGTGATTGAAGATGAAAAAGGGGTCAGTTAGAAGATGCTATTATTATAGTCACAAGGGTTCACAAGACTGGCCTTGGGTGGTCATGCAGAGAATTTTAGAATTAGGATCAAAGGGACCAGGTGAATGAGTACATGTGGGAGGAGAGGTTCAGGGAGCCAGCCCTGAACTTGGCTTCCTTCTGGTAGAAGTAAGTGCAGGAGGAGTGATAGGGTGAGGAGTCACTGTGGTCGCGAAGGGCTGCAGTGTTTAACAGGCCTGGGCTAGGTATTTGGAGCTTATCTGTAATCACTCTTTCCCACTTGATTTGAAGAACATTTTTCTTAGTGTGTCCTTCTGAAATCTTCCATATAGATAAGTTCCAATCTGATAAAGAGCTGCCAGTGGCCCAGAGGCTGGAGAACAAGCTTGATGTGGTCAATGCAGATATCCTTCCAGAAGAAGCTCCGTCTATTCCAGACCAAAATGCAAGCTTCAAAGATGAGGCATTAGCCCTGGCAAAAACCAAAGCAGTGGGACAAAAGCCTGTGACTGAAAACGTGCTGCTTAGGAGGAAAGAAGCTCTGGCCCCAGCACGACTACAGCAGGTGCGACATCACTGCCCTCTTCCGGCCCCTTTGTATGAACCTGACGTTGCCCACCTCACTAGGCTACTGAGAGGCGGAGTCAGGATTTGAGCTCTCAGACATCTGGATGCCTGAGCACTTGAGTCCACCCGTCTAAATTACTGCCTTCGCTTAACTCTGGGTTGTTTCTGTTTTTCAATAAAAATAGCAATTTTTTAAAGTTTTTTTTTTTTTTTTAATTTTTAGAGGGGAAGGGAAGGAGAGAGGGAGAGAAACATCAATGTATGGTTGCCTTTGTGCGTCCCCTGCTGGGAACTGGCCTGCAACCCAGGCATGTGCCCTGAGTGGGAATCAAACCGTGATTGTCTGGTTCACAGGCCCGCGCTCAATCCACTGAGCTACACCAGCCAGGGCTAAAAATAGCAATTTTTAATGTTATTGCTAGGACAGGGCATTCGTGTCCTGGTTTGCTAAAATCCTAATTTATTTGATACCATGATCCTAATCAGGCAGGCCATTTTAAAATTTAAGTTTTTTTCTGTTTCTGGTTTGAAAGTGTGAAATTTGAGGGGATTAAGATTTGGTAATAAATACTAACTACTTGATAATAAAAGGCATCCTTGGGTGAGTACTTTCTAACGTGGCTTTGGAGGCCAGCTTATGTGGAACTGTATTTTCAGCTTCTCTTTAAAATTTAACTTAAGGCCCTACCCAGGAAGAACTGGTGAGAAGACCACCTTCTCGTCTAAGTACCCTTGACCATGGGTGCTGCCATTTAATGGTGCTGTCCTGAGGCTTCCGTCACAAACCTGTGTGTTAGCAGGCGGCCCCAGGAAAAGAGTCAGCAGGTGCTGCCAGTTACCAATAGATCTTGGATTTGGGTCACGTCTTTATTCCGTGCCAAACCGACTGTCGGGCGATCACTGGGAAGTCAGAACTGAGCCAGTCTGAATCCCGCTTGGTGCCTCGGTTTAATGCAGCCTGGATCACTCTGTTTAGGTAGCACATGCCTTTCCTCTGCACCTTGTTCTTCCTGTGTCCGCCCATGTAATCTTCCTGAAACTTGTGAATAACTTTCTCCCATTTTACGTAAGGAAGCTGAGGATCACAGAAGTTAAATATTTTAACCAAGAATGTTTTAAAGATTAACCTCCCTTTTTTCGTTTGTTTGTTTAATTAGGAAAACATACAAACATTTATTTTATATGTAATCTGTACAGCATCGTAAAGCGAGGGGTTCCAGCTTCGCACCTCCCTCCCCCTCGCCACTGGCACTGTTTCAGTGTCACCGCCCCCCCAGGTGCCACCTCAGTGTCTCTGGTTGAGTCCATGCACAAATGGCGTGCGTCAGGGCGTGTCTAGCTTCCTAGACAGTTTCTGTGATACCCATTTGGCTTTGTAATTCATATTTATCTCTTACAGGGACTTCACAAAGCTGACAAAAGTAGATCAGCCCAATCTCACAGCAAAAGCAGGTTACAACAGACAACAGTTTCATCCAGATTAAAAATAAACCAACAGCCTGTGAAACACAGTAGAGCACCCTGGATACCTCCAAACCCCACGTCCCCCCCAGCGTCTCCTAAATGGTATGTCGGATTTCAAGGGACCATTTGGGCATGTCATTTTGCCTTTCCTGTACAGGTCCACGGTGATCTGTCGTTTGGAGCAAACAAAGCAGCAGCCTTAGTTCCCACTAAGAAGAAAAGCTTATTAGGGTGGGTAATAGATAAGAAATTTTTGTCTACAAGCCTGTTGGTTCCTCTTTCCTGCCGGCATATGGGTAAGGTAACCTCCATGGGCCACCTAGCACTCTGTGGACATGTGTCCTGATGTGGAGGGTCGCAGGCTCTCCTCACTTGACTCTTCACCCAATAGATTTTAGTTATTTAAGGCCGGGAGCTGCGTCTTCCCTACATCTGAATGTCGATTGCCGAGCACAGTGTCTAATTCAATTTAATTATGAATTACACAACCAAACAAATCTCACAGACATTGTTCTGACTGCAGGGGACAGTTAGGGAGATGCTGACATTATGGCTGTGTCACCCTCATTCAGAGTACCTGGAGAATGAGGAGCCACCTTTCCGCAGAACAGGAGAGAATGTATTGACCTCCAGCGGCATTGGGGTCCAATTGGGAGGAAATAGTCTTTTGAAAATTGAATGGGAAAGATGGGAAGAACCAGGAGGTAGGTCAGTAAAAGGAAGGCAGCAAAACGTAGTCATGTGGGGAGCAGACGAGGGAGCAGTTAAGGGACTCTCAGCGTCTGGCCTGGGGAGGCTGGCAGAACAGGGTAAGAAGCTGGTAGAGTGGATTCCCCTTAAGACTTCGGATGATTTTGAATGAATGGTTTTGCTTTATCCATCAACTCTTAATTTAAAGTTGAAGAAACAATGTCTAGAGAATTTAATGCTTGCTTATGTAGCAGAGCTGGGACTGATGAGAGGTCTTCCGTTTTCGTAATGGGCTTTTTCATTTTTATTTCCTCTGAATTCTCTATTTTTATATATGCTAGTGTAGAGATGTGGATTCAGTTGGTAAGCATCAATTAGTTGAAGTTTATATTGAACCAAATATATAGCGGACTGTCTGCTAGAGTGTACGTGTGGTGGGTGAAAGGGGGCAGCGGGTGAGGCTTCCAGGTTCAAGGTGCTGTGTTAGGCCCGATAGAGGTATGGAGTTGCTTTGTGACGTGGAATGTAATTAGTGACCCAAATCTGTGTATTATAACAGGGTTTTGTTGAAGTTTATCCATTATTCTGTCATCAACTTTCGTTTTCTCGTTTGAATTAGTGATTGTTTCTGTGAAGCAAAAGGAGAACTTCTCTCTCTTAACACTAAGCCTGAATCCTGGAGGATCTCGCTCTTCTTTACATTCAGCTTCCACTTTAGGGCCCCGTGGGCTGGTGATGAGCCCTGATTTAGTGCTTTCATCATCTCTGAGCTGGCACCTTTCAGTGAGTCATTGGGTGTGGAGCGGGTGATGACAGAGATGCACTTTTCCATCTCTTGCAGTGCCGCGTGGCTGAAGGTGAGATCTAGCCCCAAAGATGCCACAAAAGAGCAGCCTGTGCAGCAGGAAGGCGCTCAAGAGGAAAGTCAAGTGACAGGTGCAGGTGCTGTTGAGCACGAAGCAACTAGGTTTGTGCTGGGTTTTCACATCTTTGACAATGTCAGGGCCCCTTTCGCATAGATTCTAAATTGAACGTTCTTCTCTTTCCTGTGTATGGAGTTAGTTATTTAAAATGTAAATTATTAACATTTTCTTCAAACTATGCAGCTTAGACAGTCATCCCCTTTTTTATTCCTTCTTATTTTATTCATTCAAAAATTATGTGTGTGTGTGTGTGTGTGTGTGTCAAGTGCTTTACATATATTAACTCTCTTAATCATAACCCTGTGAAGTAGGTGCTGTTGTTATCGCCCCCATATTTCAAAGGAAGCACCTGGAGCAAGAGATGTTAAGCAATTGACTTATGAGCACACTATTAGTCAGTGACCAAAGCTGGGATTTGAACCCAGGCAGTCTGCCCCTGGTGGTGTGTTATTCTGGTTGCTAAGCAGCAGATATTTTAAGATCTAGGATTGAAGTTGGAGGAAAAAAGATTAGCAGAGGTAGATCTAAGAGTCATCTGTGAGGCAGTGTTTGAATTAGTCATGCAGGTAGGTGAGGTTCATAGGAGAGCGAATATGAAACAGCGTTTAGTTGTCAGTCAAGGGCTGAGCTTTGGGGTAGCTCCCTAGGGTAGGGAGCAAGAGGAGGAGTGGAACTGACAGAAGAGCATTAGACACGAAGAAAAAGCAGAGCAACATCATATTATGAGTAAGCCCTAACGAGAGAGGGCTCGAGCAAGGACTTCACGCTTGTTGAACGAGTTTTAAGCTTGTTTATACAGTGCACTTCTTGGGCAGTTTGGTGGTGCCTTTGGATTTTTCCAACAATATTTGTAAATACATACATGAAATATACAATTATCAAAATATTTTTTTTTTAAGTATAAGTTTGTCAGTTGTCTGCCAGTCACTTGTTTTGTATATGGTACAGTTGTGAGTGCTCTGGAGACTGTTAAAAAGGGGCAAAACGGATCCCAGCTTATCCACGGTCAGTAGGAAGGACCTGCCGTGAGCTGTAGCCGAAGACAGAGCGTGGCATGGACCCTGGAGACTAAAGGGTTAAGAACAGAGATTTTAGAAGGGGGACAGGATACTTCTTGCTGCAAAAACATGGGCTTCATGGAGAGATGAAAAATAAATTAGGACCTAAAGAATAGGCCTCATATAGGGGGTGAAAAGGTGAGAACATTCCATGAGAGGACAGCAGTGAAAAGAAGGTCTCTGCATTTATTAGGCTGAAAGTGTTCTTGAAATTATGGGAAAGTAAAAATGAGCATGGGCCATTAAATAATTTGATGATGTTTGCATACCCTGAACTGAAAGAATCAAAGCCCGTCCACGTGCAGCGAAGGCGTTCAGGGTTGGCTTGCCCTTCCTCTCTTTATGTGACCTCACTGGGCCTGTGAGGCTCTCCCGAGAGTCTGTTTCTTTGTCTAAACTTGTAGCTACAGCAACAGCTATATTTTGTAGTCGAACAAGAAACCATAAGTCTGGTGATGGCTAGTTTTCCAAAGAATACTCGTGGGCTGTCTTTCCTGCTCTGCACACTAGCTGGGAGGGCTCTGGCGCGCAGAAGGGTCTTTTCCCTCGGAACATTGCTCAGAAAGCCTTGCCGGGGCAGGGAGGTCGAGCCGCCTCCTGAGCCCGGGCGGAACCAGGCCTGGCACTCGGGAGGACCCTGGCGCCTGCCCGTTCCTGCGGATTGGATGCCTTGCAGGTCGAGGCAGGACTGGTCTAACTCTTTTTGCCCTGTCTGCTAGACTTGCTTGGCTTGATGCAGAAACTTCCAAAAGACTGAAGGAACTTGAAGAATTAAAAGCTGAGGAAGTGGACAAAGCGCAAAAACAGAGGTAAATAGTTGTTTCTGAGGTAGAGAAAGATAAAGCAAGCCTGTTCTCCATCATCTAGCTATTGTAACAACTAGTTGAATTTGTTTAAAGGTGTGGTCACACTTTTTATGTTCATTGGCTTCCTGCTTAAAAGATTTTGAAGTCATGTAAGAAGCCTACATGGGAGCCCAGGTAGGAGACCAGGGTGTCCCGTCTGGCTCTTTGGAGACCTGGCTGCTTGGAGAGTTGCAGTGACTTTTTTTTTTTGAAAAGGAAACAAAATGTTTATTTAATGCTATTCAGGCCTAATGCCTCCACTAAAATATCAAAGTCCTTTAGGGTATACACCTACACCCACACAGCGCTCCCTTCTCCCACTGTCCCAACTTCGGGTACCGTAAATCAGGAAAAGAGCACACGTCCCTTTTTCAGGTCGCTGGCACCGTCAGCTGTGTCACCGTGCAGAATCTCTAGTTAATCCAAAGTCATGTGGCACCTTCTCATGGTCCACTGGCAAGAGTTCTTTCTACCAAGTTCCAGGCAAAGCCTCTCCTGCTTTCCAGGCTGCGCGGCAAAAGGGGGCACCCCAAAGCCATGTGAGCCTCTTCTACCAAAGCTGCAGGGGTCAGGACTCTGACCAAAAGCATGTGGCTTTCTTCTTCAGCTGGCTGCAGGGGTCTGCACTCTTCCAAAACAGCATGGCTCTCCTCTCCACCTCGCCAAGAGGGGATCCTTACTCTGCTGAAACCTCATGGCTATCCTCAATGGCTACAGGAGGCTGCACTCTGGCCAAAACTGCATGGTTCTCTCTCCTCTTCACCTCAGCAAGAGGGGGTCTTAACTCTGCTGAAACCATGTGGCTGTCTTCCTCCTGGCTGCAGAGGTTTGCCCTCTCACCAAAACCACATGGTTCTCTCTTTTTCATCTCAGCAAGAGGAGGGTCTTAACTCAGCTGAGACCGCGTGACTCTCCCCCTGCAATGACTTTTTTGTATCATCCTGTAGACTCTTTGGGCTTCATCCTGAAAGGGTTATGGAACTCGAGCTTTAGTGTCATCGGGCGGAGTGTTTGATAAGGACCCTCATGCTGGTCTTTAGGTTGCTCCTTTTGGGGGGTGGGGGGAGGTCAGGCTGTTCAGACAAGAGTCTTCTGACTTTCCAGCGGGAGGGGAAGGATCTAGATGCCAGCACCCTAAGAGCTGAGTCGGGGAGGAGGCTTGTGAGTCTTAGCCCTTGGCGGTCAGCATGCATACACGACCCCTTTCGTCGGTGGGGTACCTGCAGCCTCAGCTGCGATTGGCATCCTCGGTCAAGAGACCCTTCCACGGTGAGCAGACTTCTCACAGAGTTGGAGAGAATCTCACTTCTCAAGCAGCCTTTGATTCTTGTCTCCCCCCTCCCAGCTCACCTTCAGGCCTAGACGGACCTGGTGCTCCCAGCCTTGTGCAAGTGTAAGTCAGGGCTGCGAGTGGTGTGGGTTTTCAGTCTCCCCATTCCTGGCTAAGGATCCAACTTTCTCCAGTCAGCTGAGTTGTTACTGCCTTTGGCTTTCTGCTCTTTAGCACCATTTTTTCCTTGTCTTTGTGGGTTTATGTTTAACTCTGTACCATGGAATTTGGGGAGGGAACACAGTCAGTTTTATTTGTTCGGTCTTCTACCCTCTTTAGTTATTTAAAGGCCATTGTTATTCTTTTAAAATGTACTGAGAGCCTAACGTACTTCTTCAGGCGTTTTGATCCAGGACCAGCAGTGTTGCCTCCACCTGGGAGCTTTATTGGAAATGCAGAATCTCAAGCCTCAGTCAGACCAGCCGAATCAGATCTGCATTTTAACGAGATCCCTGGGGGGCTCGTATGGCATGAAAATTGGGGAAGCATTATGGCTTTATAATCATTTGGTTTTTCCTTCACCTGCAGGGAGTGGAAAATGAATATTCAAAACAGGATATTTTCTTGCTTTTGATTTTAATTTTTTGTTTTATTTCTAAATAGTGTTTCTGCCACCCAGTTAGCCGACAAGGTAGAGAAGGAAGTCCTGGAGCGTTTGAAGCCTCTGCTGGTCAAGGCCCAGGTGATCCAGTTAACCTCATTTACGTGCCTTCAGAAGTTCTAAACGAAAAAGTCGCCATGCAGGGATCGCACTGGCCCTCTCTGCAGGGCCGAGTGTCTGGCAGCGGGGCCTGCGGTGCTGAGCTGTGCTGTATGGTGTGGGTGCACCGCTGTGAGGGCTGCTGTGGGCACCCACAGACCGCCACACACCTTTGAGGTGGGCTAGGGACAAAGGCAAGGGGAAGAGAGAGAAGCCCCACTTTGTAGAGAGGTGAGACTTTAGTTTGGGGGGTGAGTTCAGATTGCCCTTCCCACTCTTAATCAAGTAGACCTATCTGTCGGTGGTGGTGTGTTTAATTAACTGTTCTACTTGAATCCTGTGCTCTTTCACTTAGGGGTTTGAAATAATTGGCTCTGTTTTTCCAAAGGAGAGGGATGTTGTTAGCCTGGCTTCTGTGCACAAACCAGGACTTTCTTGCAGAGGAGATTTAATACAGCATCACCAGCAGGTTGTGCCATCCTCTAAGCAGGAAGCTGAAGGTTATGGCCAGACCCTGTGGATGTACCTATAAATAGGAACAGCCTGTTTGCGTGGATAGATGAGGCCACGGGAGAATATTATCCTCTTAAAGGGAATACATGGCATTCCGGGTCCCTGAAAAGGTCATGAATTTCTGTAGCTGAACTTGAAGAAATGTTGAATTATTTTTAGAGTGCATGGAAATCTCAGGAATAGAGAACTGGGAGGGCTCCTCCAGACCAAATCTTCCAGCCTCCTCATTGTGGAACAGAGAAGTGGAGTAATTGCATAAAAACACACAGCTACTCCAACAGTGTTTACAAAGTGAAGGAGGAAAGGGGGCAGAAAGCCAAGATGAACACATGGCATTTATTTTCATAAAGAGAGAGTGCTTTTAATCACTGCAAAAATCCTAGTGTAGATAAAGCTGACGAACGGCTCCTCACAGAAGTTATTCTGTTAAAGAATTCATTTGTATTAATATGGGCTGAAATTTGTATAATTCATGAATGTGCTTGTCTGTTTTAATAGAGAGTCAATTCTTCTCTGGAAGCAGATACTCATTTGAAGGATCGGCCGTCAGTAAGCACAGCGACAGCCCAGCCTGCAGAGCAGGTGTGTGCAGTGTTACTATGCAGTAATGTCACTGGTTGTAAGGAGAAGGATGCGCACGTTACTTTGCAAACACTAGATTGTCCTGCTCAGGAAGTGCAAGTTCTTTTTCATATTTGGCATGTTAATTCTTACAGTGTGTATTTAGGTTGTGAGTTAGATCTGCCTTGCAAACAGCTCACAGAAATCTCTCAAGCCACAGGTTTTTGTTAGCGACTCCTTTCCCCTCCTCCTGATAGAGTGTGTGGATGCACTGCATGACCCTGAATGTTGGTGGCCTTCGGCAGAAGAATGGCTGTCCTCATTTCCTTTCATTCAGCCTAGTTTTGCTCATTACTGGCCTAATTTCCTTTATACTTAGGGCCTAATAGTTACTGTTAGACCAGCATGTTTTGAGTACCCAATAATGACCAGTATTGGCCTAGCAGAGACAAAAGGTAGCCCAAGAAAAAAATGATAACATTTGAGGGGAAAAACAATGTATTTTGTGGTTGTCCAGCCTCTGGAGGACTTGTGGGAATGGAGTTCCTGCCTGCCTAGGGCTGTGAGTGAAGGTGCTGATTGCATCCACCGAATCTCCGTGGAGGTCGGAAAGAAGTGACTGCTCCGTGCGCTCAGAGCCGATGGGAAGCTTCCAGAGTTAGAAGGAAGTTGGAATGAAGCTCCACCAGTCCAGTGACCTTAGGAGCAGGAAGGAAGGAAGTAGATTTCGAGAATGTATCTCCATTATAATGATTAATTAGTACTTTAGCTGCAGCATATTTTCGTAATCTTTGTGATTATAAGTTTATTGTACCAACATTTTGTGAAAGAATCTCATGTGAGGGGAGGCTTCTAAGACTGGAAACTGAAAGCCTGCACTCAGCTCTTACAACCCAGGGGTGCCCTGGCCTAGGGTTTTGTGCGGCATGGCCACCAGATGGTACTTTTCTCTCCCAGCAAAATGGCAAGGCTAACATCTAATCTAGGAAGGCAACTCCATATGGCATTTTAATAAGAAAGAAAAATGCAGTGATTGTAAGTGCTGCCTGTGAGGTGAGCATGTCAACAAGCTCATAACTATGAACAACTGAACCTAAAAAACAAACAAAAAAAGAAACTAAGCAAACGACTAGAACAGGAACGGAATCACAGAACTGGAGATCACGTGGAGGGTTATCAGCAGGGAGGGAGAGGATGGGAAGAATAGGGGGAAAAGTACAGGGAATAAGAAGCATAATTGGTAGGCACAAAATAGACAGGGGGAGGCTAAGAATAGTATAGGAAATGGGGAAGCCAAAGAGCATATGTGTATAACCTGTGGTCATGAACTAAGGTGGAGGGGCAGTGGGTAGTACTAGTGGGAGCGGACGCAGGGCAGAGAGGGGAGAGGGGAGGGAAAAATGGAACAACTGTAATAGCATAATCAATAAAATATACTTAAGAATAACCAGCCCTCTATATAAGAATTATACTGTAGGCATGAAATGGTCTTTAATATAATACAATTTACTGAAAAAGAAAAGTAACTCTGTCAGTATGTATCACTCTGGGCTGCTGGTAGACAGACATCAGCACTGTTGCAAACAGTTTCCCAGGCGGCACCGTCAAGAGCTGGTGTTTATAAATAACTGAGCAAAGACAAACAAAAAAAACCTCTTTCAAGTTGGCATGATGAAATAAAAAGAATTATTTTACTGTATTAACCTAAAAAAAGGCTGTGGGACCTTGGACACAAATTCTTAGAAGTCTTCATTTCCAAAATGGAGAAGATATTTGCTGCACTTTACAAGTAAAACACGACTTCCAGTGGCTTTACTCCCAGACGATCTCTGATACCAAAGCCGAGCCCCCAGGAGGACACCACCACAGCATATCCGTCTGTTGCCATTGCCATTAACTGGACTTGCACATGAACGGTGTATTTTCCCAAAATGTGTGGCTTTTTTAAACTTCAAAGTTGTATATGCACATGGCTACAAATCAAACAATTCAGAGTTGAACCTCCCCGCCGAGGGGTGCCACGTGCTGATTCTGTGCCCAGCTGCTTTCTTATTTTGGTGACCTTTTTGTATCAGCACACTAGTCCTCATCTTTTTTGACAGCCAGTAAAGATATGAAAGAACAGCTGATCGTAACCAAAGTTAAGGAAATAAAAAATTAATTGAATAACCAATCCAAAAAAATTTAGACAGCTATACCTGTAATATGGGTCTAGGTAATTGACATACATGTATTTGTATGTGTAAAATGGAAGGTCAAGAATACCATGTGCCAACTGTTCAAAGTTTTGTTTTGTGTTTTTTTTTAAAGATTTTTATTTATTTATCTTTAGAGGGGAAGGGAAGGAGAGAGGAGGAGAAACATCAATGTATGGTTGCCTTTCATGCGTCCCCTGCTGGGAGCTGGCCTGCAGGGAACTGGCCTGCAACCCAGGCATGTGCCCTGACTGGGAATCGAACTGCGATTGTCTGGTTCTCAGGCCCGCGCTCAATCCACTGAGCTATACCAGCCAGGGCTGTTCAAAGTTTTTTAAAATTGGCTGTAGCGGTGGCCATTCATTGAGCGTCTTTCTTGTGTCCACCACGGTGCTGTGTCCCTACTGCAAGTGCTGGTATAGCCCTTCCAAATCTGACTTACGAGATTATTGTCTCCATATTGCAGATGAGAGAAGTGAGGCCCAGAGAGGTCAAGTAAACTTGCCCGCCACTGCAGGCATATCAGTGAAGAGAACCAGGATTTAGTCCCAGGAAGTCTCATTCCAAAGCCTGATGGCGGCATTTCCCCAGCAGACATTCTTTGCAAAGCCTCTTTCAGAGCGGATTATAGACATTCAAGATAGACTCATGTATTAGGGTCATATTATAGACATATATTAGAATAAAAAATACAGCTCATGTAAAAATGGTTTGCAAATCATAAAGTGCTTTAGGAATGTCAAGAATATAAGCTCAAGAAAGGCTGGTCAAGCTTTCCCACTTGTAGGTAGAAAGTCTCAAGCAAAGAAAAGAACCATGAACTTTGTGATGTCATGAACCAGAAGAGAATAGATACATCCTCTGGCATATGTGACATGTAAGACATTGGATATTCTTCCAAGTGCGCACAGGGAAGATTCTTGCTTTACCAACTGGCAAAACAGGTAATGGTAATTTACACAGACGGTAATAGTGTTACTTGGTTTAACACTGCTGTTTAAATGGCTGTGGTAAAGAGTGTACTGATGTTCCTGATTCTGGTATATACTGACTTAAGGAGAGGGTTAATGTAGCATAGAATCTGTACAGTTGGACCACATGTGGTTGGCTCGTGACCAGCATTTCTCTTTAAGTCTCTCTGTTGTCTTTGTGTGACCTCTTCGTCCCCCTGCCTCATTTCTCAGGCTAGTGCTGTTGACGGTATACCCGGCAGCAGTTGTCAGCTGGATGGCACGCTGGAAGATACCACTCGTGAGCTCTGGGCCAGGGCTCGTCCTAAGATCTTGGAGCCTGACTCCTTAGCCACCTTGGACAGCAGCGCATACCTGGAGACCATGATGCTCCGAATGGAGGAGATGGAGGTCAGGTCTGGGGCTGCGGGCTTTCATACCCGATGGGGGCTGGCCCCTGCCAAGTGTGCGTCCTCCTTGCGTTTCCATAGCTTAGGACTTCAGGATCATACCACTGGTTTTACAAGGGGAACCCCCCCCAAAACTGGAATTATCCTCCGGGTCCCTTATGGTCCAGGCTTCCCCTGCTAGGTGAGTGCTCTAGGAACCTGTCTGTATCAGTGCACCAGCTGGCATTCTTGTGAGGGACTGCCTTCAGCTCCTGTGAATTTTTTTGCAGTCTCTTTGAACATGTTTTCCCATTTCATAATGAGTGATTTAGGAGTGTACCTGCCGACACTGTGCGGAATGTCCAGCAATTTTTGACAAAAAACGGCATGACTACCGTGCCCCACCCTCCTATTCACCCAAACCCTGAATGACGTGTTTGCTTCCCTCGGATGAGAAAAGTCCTCCAAGGGAAATGTGCCGATATGGAAGAGGTGAAACAAAAACTGGCAGAAGCACTAAAAAGCCATCAAAGTTGATGAGCAGTCTGAGCAGTGAAAAAAGCATCTCGATAGGTGCATGGCATCAAATGGAGAGTGCTTTAAAGGTGACTGAAGTTTAAACATGTAAGAATAAGTACACAATTTTTAATAAATAAATTCCGGGGTTTTTTTTTTAGGTCCCTCTTGTAAATCCTAGTTCAACTGCCCACCAAGAGTAAGGCCTGGGTGAAGTCTCTTACCCTCTCCAGTAGGTAGGGTGTGTTTAAAGATACAACGAGGCATGAAGCATCCTCGTACCTCTAGCAGCTGACTGCCTGGCACAGACCTCAGGAAGTGATCAGTGTCAGTGTCCCCTGTTGTCATTGATGTGTGATTCAAAAAAACGCCAGGCCCTGGGCCTCTCCATCCCTGAGGGTGTACCTGCTGTTCATTTGCCTCTTCTACCTGCTATTGTGTGATCCCGACACCATGGATAAGTTTATCTTAATCTCCACGATATTCCTTTAGAGTACTTTTGTCAGAACTTTCAATCTCAGACATTACCCAACACAACTTGAGGGTTGTTCAGAGCAGGAAATAGAGACACAGCAAGGAAGTAAGTGATGTGGCTACGGTCACAAAAAGACTCCCCCCCGGAGCCAGGGTGTGCATCCATCCAGGTGCCCAGCAGCCGTCGCTGTATTCTTCAGAACCGCACGGCGGTGATAGCTCATTTTAGCTTTGCTGCTAAATGGAAACATTGCAGGAAAGATGATTTTGTTGTTGTTGTTGCTTTTTGAAAATTTAAAGATGTGTAGTTAATCCTAGACTTGTAACCAATTTCCTAGTCTTGGGGGAAACTGTCTAGACTGTTAGTGCCCAGTATGGTAGTCTGCAGCTAAATGTGGCTATTTAAATGTAAATTAATTAATATTAAACACACTACTCATGTTTTTAAGTGGCTAAAGCAGTCAGTCATTTGTGGCTACTATATTGGACATATTTCCATCACCACAGCAAGCTCTGGTCTAGATTAGATTAATTAGATTAATTGCTTCATTTTATTTTAGACCTCACTTCACAAACTCACCACTTCCTGGCCTGGCAGATGCTCATTTCTGGCAGAGTGTCAGCATCAAATATGTCTGCTGAACTGTGACATTCTTACCAGCTCTGGTTTGTAATGAAACTAACTTATTCTCATAAACTTTTTTTTAAAAGAAATACCAGGAGGCAGTTCGCCAAAGATATAATAAAATTGTATACACTGATCCTCCTCTGTGGATGCAGGAAGAAAAAAATGGTGAGTGTTCCCCTCACTTTTTCCCCCGACATTTTATCCTGAAAAATTTCAAACATACAGAAAAGTTGGGTGAATTCTACAGTGAACACCTGTATATCCACTTTATAGATTCTGCAGTGAACGCGGTGCTGTGTTTGCTTTCTTCCTCTTCTCTTCACCCGTTAGTTGGTCTCACTTTTGCATGCATCTCAGAGTGAATCGTGGACATCCGTGCTCGGCACCCTGAACGTTGCAACATATGTATCAGCACCTAGAGTTTATTATTTGTGGCTCTTTTCCTTTTGAGGTAAAATTTACATGTAATAAAATTAACTGTGTCATTTCATGGGTTTTGATAAATGGATAATTGCGCTTTTTTTCCCACTGTCGTTTTGCCTGTTCTAGAATCTTGTATGAATGAAGTCATACCTGCATATATTCTTTGTCTAAGACTTCTTCCATTCAGCATGATGGTTTCTAGATGTATCTGTGTTACTTGTTTCCTGTTGCTAAGTTTGTAACCCGTTAAAGCACCGATTCAGTGATTTATAACACAAATTACTCTCTTACACGTCTGGAGGTCAGAGGTCAGAATCCAGACTCAAAGGGCTAAAATAAGGTGTCGGCGTCATCTGAGGCCGCCTGCGTCCCTTGGCTCACGGCTGCACTGCTGCAGGCCCTGCTGCTGTTGTCACGTTGCCTTCTCGTCTGTGGGCGAGTCTTCCCAGGACTGCCCGTTACAAGGACACTTCGGTGACACTTAGGGTGGCCCCCGATAATCTGGGATACTTTTCCATCACAGGATTCTTAATTTGAAGTTCCCCTTGCTGTAGAGGGGAACATTCACAGGTCCAGTGACTGGAATTGGACACCTTGCAACACTGTTGCCCAGCCTCCCACACTTTCACCAGGACGATGTGCCTTTGCATTGCTGGGTGGTATTCCCTCTGCGCATGTGCTGCATCTAGTTCATCCATTTGCTCGTGGGACCTACATGCAGTTGCTTCTGGTTTTGAGTTATTAGAACTAAATCTGCTGTGAATATGTTCATGTGTAGTCTGTGTGGACATACGCTTTTATTTTCTTGGGTAAACACCTAAGAGTAGACTTGCCAGGTCACGGGATGGGTGTGTGCCCAGCCTTCCCCCGAGTGGCTGTACCATTTACATTCCCATCTGCGGTGCGTTTCTGTTGCTTGGTGTCCTCACTGATACTCGCTGTTGTCAGCCTTTGATTATAACCGCGCTGGTGGGCGTGTGGTGGTATCTCATTGTGGTCTGAATTTCATTATGATCAGTAGTGAGGTTTAGAACATTTTCAAGTGATTATTAGCCATTTGTGTATCTTTCCTTGTGAAGTATGCAAATCTTTTGTACGTTTTTCTAATGAGTTACCTATCTACCTACTTATTTACTTATTATAATCCATTTGTAGAGTGGGATATTTATTATAAACTTGCTCAGTAAAAGAATAAGAGTCCAACAATTTGTCAATAGAAGATTGCAAAACACGCAAGAAACTTAACCATTCAGACATACACCGAACCCTGAGCCCGCCCAACACCAAAGAAATACGCAGTATTTTGAAACACACAGGAAGCAGGTTTTTAAAAACTGGCCGTAAACTAGGTTGATCATTTAGCATTTAACTGAGTTATTAAAAAATCTACCCTAAAATGCCTTTTTGATCCAACTAGGATTTTGCCTCATTAATAAATCTAAAAATACAGACCGTTGCATCCGTGGACACCCACAATGTGCCGCTGGGGAATGAACAGTCTTGCATTTTGAGGGTTGTGTTACTGGGACTGGGACCTTCCTGCCGACGATCCCAAAGTCACTGGTGCAAACTCGGGGAGTGTCCTCCAGTTTGCAGAGAGCGACAGGGAGCGAGAGCAGAGGGAGCCTGACTGCTGTCCGGGGTCTGCACCAGGAGTTCTGAGTGTTCTCCTGGTCGGGGCTCTCCACGGTCCCACCCTCAGTGAGGAGAGAAGCTGGGAAATGCATCTAAACAGATTAAACGGTGCTGCCTGGAAAAGCGGACCCGTGGAACCTTAGGAAAGAAGCCTGAAAGAATGGGTGTGGCTGGGCAGTGGGCAGGGGCCAGAATGAAAGCATCATGAAGACCACACAGTTGAATAACAAAGCAGTCAAATCCTGGCCAGTAACAACAGCAGGGAAAAAAAGTGACAAAAATGGTGTTATAGATAAAGCACATTAACCCAAATCTAAGTTACACATGGTTCCAGCAGGGCTTTGTGTTGGCGAGACCACGTGTACACAAGAGAATTGTGACAAAGCCTCCCCGTATCAAAATCCATGTGGCAGAGCTGAAGGGGCACACAGAGGGACATTTGTCATTTTGCAGGATTTTATTAGGATGGAAAAACTGGAAAGGAATGAATTTGGGTTCCCACCAAGGGCCGAGGCAGGACTGGCAGCAGTCATGGCATCTGCCGTTCTGTTCCCTGCAGCTCACTCATTGGAGCCCCACGAGTGGTGGGCTGGACTTGAAGGCCTTCCCGCATCTGTTAGGGCGTCTCAGGTGGAACTTAAGATGCAAGTGTTTAGCCTTAGCTGGTGTGGATCAGTGGATTGAGTACCTGCAAACCAAAGGGTCACCGTTTATACTCAGTCGGGACAGGAGCCTGGGTTGTGGGCCCAGGTCCCCAGTTGGCAACCACACATTGATGTTTTTCTCCCTTTCTTTCTCCCTTCCCATCTCTCTAAAATAAATAAATAAATAAAATCTTTAAAGGGGGGGAAAAGGAAAGGAGGACTTAAAGAGGTCTTCCCCACATTCCTTACTCTACAGGACTTCTCTGCAGTGTTGGTTCTTAGAGGGACTCTTGTTTGAGACAACACTGAAGGTCTTCCATTGTCCTTAGATTCATAAGATTTCTCTCTAGTGTAAGAATAAATGTCCACTAGAGATGAGTGAAGGTTAAAAGGTTTCCACTGGCCTTCTCTTCACAGGCCTGCTTTCCAGTTTTCCCATTTCCGCTTGAGGTAAGAGTTCAAGGAAGACTTCCCTGTACGTCAGCCTATGGAACCCACCTGCCAATATGGCCTCTTCATGCCTTCGGTGTTTTGAGAAAAAGAAAGCTTTCTGCACATTCCTTTCATTCTGAGGGCCTCTCTCAGCTGTGCTCTTTAGACGGCTTTAAAGTCCTGGATTATTAGGGCAGCCTCTTCTGGGCCTCTCTGCAGTGTGGGTCCTTGTGTGTATGGCGTGTTTTGAGGGCTTACAGAGGCTTTCCCACACTCCTTATGTTCACGGACTTCTCCGCAACGTGCCTGGTAAATCTTTATTAAGGGGAAGGAGTATCGAAAGGCTTTCCCAGTTTCTTGCACTCAGAGGGTTTCTTCTCTCCGCTGTGAATTCTCATGTGTTTCATAAGGATTGAGTAAGCACAGGGCTTCCTGCCGTCCTGGCGCCGACAGCTTTCTCGGCAGCCCTAGTGCTCCGGTGCGGCTCCTCGGAACGTGTGGCTTGCGGGGACTCGTTGTGCATTCTGGGTACACGTTCTTTGTCCCCAGGCTTTTTAAGTAACTTTGTCTTTTTAAGTAACAGTTTTATTAAGATATAATTCACATACCATAAAATTCCCCCTTCCACACTGTACTGTGTGCTATGTGAATTTTTAGTATATTTGTGGAGCTGTGCCAACATCACTGCCATCATCACCTGAGAAGAAGCGCTGCCTCCATTTGGCAGCCAGTCACCCAGCCTCCATGAGCTACTACTAAATGCCAGCACAGACTTTTTTCCCCTCACCTAATTATCTTGATCAAATGTGTTTCGTTACGGCAGACACTTAATTTTTATAAAGTTGAACTTCGAATTTTTCTCCTGTCATTTTTGCTTTCTTTGATCTAAGAACCCTTTGCCTGCTTTCAGTTGGAAATGAGTCTTGTTTTCTCCTGGGCACTTTTATGGTTTTCGCTTTTATGTGTAGGTCTGTGATTCATCTTGAGTGAAAGTTTGCTGTGGTTTGAAGTAGAGGTTACAGCTCATTTTTCCCCTTAATGGACATTCATTTGGTCTCATACTGTTTGTGAGAAAGACTTTCACTTTTCTCCTCCGCTTGTAAAAATTCATACAGAACGCATTTTGGCTGCAGTTGCTAGGCTACAGTCACAATTTTGGCTGGGAAGTGTTACTCAAATTCTGTTTGACTCAGGCTATCAGTTCTTCCCTTCCTCAGTGAAAGGAGGTGAGTGAAGTGCGGTTAAACATTACTCTGGAGGAATCTCAGTACAGGGAGTACGAAGGCATGCAGAAGAAATGGGGGTGTGGGCGATTTACAGCAGTGGCCTGTGTCACAGACACTTTTTTTAAAACCTGCCTGTGGGGTATTGTCTCAGAAAAAGTGTTCTCTGTGTGTCCAGTTTTCCCAGAAGAATGAGCCATCTAAGCACAGTGCCGATCTGCCCCTTTGATGTTCTCTCTGCCTTTCCAGCACTGTGCTCTTTGTTCGTGGTGTCCACTCTTCCCCCAGCCCTAACCCCACTCCCATTTTCATCCTCAAAAAACCAGCCGAAACCTCCAGGGCCTGGCTCGTGCGATCTTGTATGTTCAGTGCCTGCAGTGCTCTTCCTGGCTTTCCTGCCCTGGAACTTGGCTCCCTTCCTCGCCCGCGAGCTCCCCTAGACTCCAGCATGTCCTGTGTGTGCAGGGCTTGGCCACAGAGTGAGGCCAGAGAGTTTGTCGTATCCGCTTGTGTTTCCCACTGCACCTAGCGCGGGCCGGCATGGGCTGGGGGAATCGGTGGGCATTTTGGCGTCGTTTTCTACGGCAGCAGAGGAAAGGGACAGGTGGAAAGGCAGCTCGCTGCACTGATGGTTTGGCCACTGCCCACAAAGTCTGGTTGCATCACACAGAAGACCGTCTTACCTAGGACTCAGTGTTCTCTTTTTTCAAGGGCAAGTTGAATGATTCGTCACTATGTGTGACTGTGCAGAAAGTCTAAGTATACACTGAAAAAAAAGCCCTTTAAAACACTAGGTACTGAGATGAATTTTTGGACGTTTTAATTCCAGAGTCATGAAATCCTAGTAAGGATCCTGTGTTTCTTGTTGTTCAGATGGTATGTTCAATTGCCTCACAAAACCCCATTTGAACTGATGTTTGCATTGTGCGGGGTCTAATCTGTATATCCTCCTTTCTGCGAATAGTTGAAAATGTATTGTACTCAGCAATATTTTCACAAAAACTGACCTAGGCCGTGTTTCTCACAGTAAGAAATCACAAGCGTATACATGAGTAGAGAAAGTTATTTGACTTAGAGATTCTCCTTGCCTGAGAGAAGGACAAGTCTTCCCACACTTGAAGTGCACTTAAAGTTATAAATAACCTGGAATGCAAAAGACCCGTCAAGCCTGCAAGATAGAGTTAATAAGTTAATGTTTTGACTATCGTCATGCAGGTTCTCCAGCAATGCCCGCAGACAAATTGAATCAGCTAATTAAGTGTTCAGGTGTAAGTGGGTTTTTTCCTTCTCCCTAATCAAACCATCTCAAAGGTTAAAAAACAGCCCCAGCTGCTTACAACTCCTCGAATGGGTGGCTGGATCCCAATGGAGCCTGCACAGCCTGGGGCTTCACTCAGGCTCCTTGAAGAGATCTTCCTCAGAGCTAGCACAGGCGTGAGAAGGAGTTCATTTCTTAAAAGTGACGCCTCATTGGCTTGTGTCTTTGTAACTTTTAAATTCACTGCTGGCTAAACATTGTGCTTAAGGGGTGTGCCTGCGACTTCCTGGGGGCAGCAGGACAGCTCTGGTAGGCGGGTGGGCTTCTCTTCGTAGACAGTCATGTTGTGCTCCTCCTTTTCTAGACCAGAGACTGCCAGCAGTCAGTGAAAGGCCCCTTTCTCCTCATCCAATCAGGATCACAGAGACAGCAGCTGGCAGAGACTCGGATGTGAACATCGTGTTAGAAAGGCCCTGGAATGGCAAGTAAGGAGCAACAAGACTGATTTCACTGTAGTTGTTGCCTTTGATGCTGTTGAGTTTCACATTCTTTCATTTGGCACAAGGCAGAGAGAAATTCTTTTGAGCAAGATTTTGCCAAACGCCACGATGGCTCAGTAAAGTAGGGTGTTTATAAGGTGGGTGGAGAGAATATAGCATCTTAAGGAGCCTGGTTGTTGTGGAAGCATTACATGGGCACTTGTGGTTGTACTGATACTTCCTGCAAGATTTGCATTCAGAATTCTTTCGTCTGTGGGGCGGGAGCTCCTGCCTTGTGGAGGGTCAGTCCCACGTGAGATGGGGAAACAAACAGTGAGTGCTGATAGCCTGAGTGTCGTGGGCTTTCGGTTAGCAGACCCTCAGGGTGAATGGAGGGTGTACCCTTGCTTACGGGTGATTTTGAATGTTATCATTTTTGTTGCTCTCAGTTCCCTGGATGAAAGTGTGGGAACAGAGGAGAAGCCAGAGAGAAGAGAGCCTCCCCGGGTCGTCACCCTTTCAGAAGATTCCGAACCTCGAGAGGGTCGCGCTGCCCTCTTTGTCCCAGCTGGTATGCGGCGCCACATCGGTGACTACTGCAGCCGGTACGAGCGGTACCTCCGGATGGTCTCTCACGAGGCCGTGGGCTCCTTCAATCCCTGGCTGATTGCCGAAAGGTCAGTGAAATGCCATCTGCCTCTGTTCAGGAGGAAGGCCTGGCCAAGGCCTCGCGCCGTGCTTTCGGGCCCTGGAGTTCCAGCAGTTGCTCTCGGCCGAGTGGCCAGGTTTCTCTGCTGACAGCCTTTCTTCAGATAGCGGAGACTGTAAAACAGCCTGGGTGCTGTCACCCAGAGGGACGTCCGGCACCTTCCCTCCTCGGCAGAGGCACACCACGTGGGTCAGGGAGGATGTCCCGTTGCCGTTAGTGAGGGCTGCGTCCATCCGAGGACACCGGGTAGTGCAGGGTCAGACGAGGCTGTGGCCGCGATGTCTCCACAGTCGGACGAACTCGCACACAGGGCCCGGCCTGTGGACCTTGCCACGCATCTTCAGCCCTGCTCCCGCCAAGGGTCCCCTCCCCTGGGAAAGGCCGTGTGTGCAGTCCTGAACCACAGTGCTGCTGGTGACTTTTGGAAGAATGGGCAGCCTTTTTATGTGAGTAGTTCATTGAAGCATGTGGGTAGCCCTGACTGGTGCAGCTCGGTTGGGGGAAGGGGGTTCCCACGAAACAAAAAGTCATCAGTTCGATTCCCAGTCAGGACACGTGCCTTGGTTGCAGGTTCAGTTTCTGCCTGGTTGGTAGGAGAGGCAACCGATCGATGCCTCTCTCCCTCCCTTCCCCTCTCTTTGAAAAAAAAAAAAGGAAAGGAAAGGTATAGATTCTTTTTGTATTGGGCCCAAGTTTAAATTCCTCATGGGTATCACTTTATTATAAACATGCAACTATATTTTCATCATTGAGCCAAATTGTATACTATGATTCCATTTTTTTCTCAACCAAGTTTTAAACCTATTCCAGGAGATAATCATTGCCTCTTTTTTTGCTTATTCTTTCATACAGTTACTAACTTTGCCCACACACTATCCGGCATCTCAGTGCAGTTTTGCCTCTGTCTCTCACCCCCACCCCCGCTCCTCCCCATGAGACCCTCTCCCCCCGCCACCTGCCTGGCTGGGCTGCTTGCTGCAGCCGCGAGGCTCCCCCCTGGGACTTCCTTCTTCGCCCTGGGTCTCAGATGGCCTCCCTCCCATGTCAGAGTCTTTGTTTTCTGCTGCCCTCACCTTCCTCTTTCTTGATTTACTCTCTAATTTTGATGGAGCATATCCTGCTTTGTGTACTGGAGGAAATTTTTTGAGATTTATGTATTGGAGAGTGTCTTTATTCTGTCTTCATATTTGATGGATGCTTTGGCTGAGTTTAAAATTATGAGTTTATTTTTTAAAAAGAACGTACACCTCCCTTCATTTTTGGGGGTGAAGAAGCAAGTGTCACTTAGCAGCCAGGAGCAGGGGTGGAGACCTGTCCATCTCGCTGCTCATTTGGCAGCTGTTCAGCCTATGCCCTCGTTTTCTACCCCAGACCTCACCCCGTCTTCTTGATGCTCAGCGCTCTTGCGTCCCAGGTTTTGTGAGACATACCAGCTCGCTTTCCTCGGCCTCTCCCCGGATAGACTCTTCCAGCTTCCTCTGGACCTGTCTGTGCCGCTGAAGCAGCTGTGATGCTTCTCTGTGCACTTTCTGAAAATCCTGGACATTTCTCATCTACCATTGTCTTATTTTTCTCCTTGTAGATTCATGTACTTGTTGGTCTGTTTCCTTTTATTTTAGTGGAGCTCTGGGTGGGATTGGAGATAATCCCTTATATTCAGTCCCTCAGGCATAACCTGAAGCCCTAAAACTTCTCTGGAATACACAGTATCCGTCAAAGAGATGCACCTTCACTTGGGGGGGAGGAGCCTAGGTGAACGTGACTTGCTTCTGCGTGTGAACACGCGGTCCTGCGGATGCCCGCTCGCCTTCCCAGAACCCGTCTGGGTGGTCAGGCTAATGGGACACGAGAACATCCAGGGACACGTCAGGGAGGATGGAGCGTTTGTTCCCTGTGTGTTGCTGCCACTTGATAAATGATACACTGTGTTCGTAGTTACTTTGTTGATGGAGGGAAAGCTCTCTCAGCGTATAAAGAATAATAGGTTGAAGTGTACAGGGCAGAGCTATTAAAATATGCCTGGACTTTTACCAGTGTTCTCTGCTCTACTTTGGCCCTCGCCTGACAGTGCATCTGAATTTTCTAGCTGCTTTTGATCTCTCGCTTCTGTTTCTGATTGGAGGGTTACAGATGAGAGTTGTGTTGATCACATCTTGAGAAATCCTAAGACAGGTGACTCCACTTCATAGCAGTTTGTGTGAGGAAGAACTTAGATACTTTTTTTTTCTGTGATCCCTCCATTTCTCTTTACAGCTTGAGAAAAGCACTCTTTCATCAGTGCGTGAAGAGAGAAAATGCTATAAACTGGATGTAAACAAAAGAGGGGTTGTGAAAGAAAAGACTTAAGGTGATGCTTTCGATAAAAGCAAACTTTCGGACTCCTGGTTTGAAAAACAAACCAGGAGACTTCTGTTTGAAAAAGACAGATTGGACATACATATTTATCTCTCTCCCCTTTGTCTTTCCCCAACTATATGTCACTAAAAGAGTAAATGAAAGGCAGGAACCTATAAATGACAGCAAACAAGAAATGGTAATAAAATTTTGGAATTTTATTACTATTAGCAAATAGCGAATGCCTTAGCAGACCAGAGAGACAGGTGCCTGACGAGGGGAAACCGAGAGCCACGCTGATCTATGCAGAACCTTGCAACAGCGAGGACTGAGGAGCCCCAGCTGCTCGTCAGGCACAGGAGCAACTGAGTTGGAACTCGGGGCTGGTGGAAACTGCCCCTGGACGGAGCAGGCGGGTCAGATGACCGGGCGTTTGGCGAAAGCCACGGGAGGTGCAGAGCCGCCCATGGAGGAAGCCAAGACAATGCAGGAAGAGAATAAAACATCAAGAACAGGTTGAAATTAATCTTCTCGGAGAAATAAGTGAAGTTATTACATCAGGAAGCAACAACAGGATATTGTAAAAATAAACTTTCAAAGAATAAAACAAGAGTTCTTAGAAATTAAAGTATGGCTGAAATAAATTCAGTAGAAGGGTTTAGAGAAAAAGTCAGATCTCTCAGGAAGTAGAATTTAAAAAAACACAAACAAGGATAGGTAATACTGAAGAAAATATTTTAAAAATTAGAGGATTATTCTAAGAGACCCAGTGTCTTAGCCCAGGCCCCCGTGACAAACACTGTCAGCCGGGCGGCTTAGACAACAGAGACCCTGTGTGGTTCGGAAGCTGGGAAGATCAGGGGCCTGCTTGGTGTTTTGCAGACAGCTGTGTTCTCCCTGTCTTCTCACCTGTCAGCGAGAGGGAGACCCTCTCTCTGTCTCTTTCCTAAGGGCACTGATCCCATTCAATGTGCCCTAATCACCACCCTGGGCTTCGGGACTGGGCTTTAGGCCCACAGTTTTGGTTTATGGTGTCCGACAGCTGAATAATAGGAGTTCCAGAATGTGAGAACAGGGGAGATGGAGGAACGGGGAGTAGGCAGTTACCAAAGAAACACTAAGAAATTCTTTTAGTAGACTGTTGGTCTCTAGATTGGAAGAGTTCATCACTGTCCACTGCAAGTCAGTGAGTGAATAAATGTATGAATAAGCAAACAGAACGACTCACCGTGGCACATCACTTCAGAAAGGATCTTGGGACATTCCCGTGTCAGGAAAACGTGTGAGACGTCCCGGAGAGCTGCAGCAGGGCACGGGCCGTTCAGAAAGGAGAATGGCGTACTGCTTTTAGTCGCGGCACTGCTGGCCGATGTTAGAGCACCTTGCCAAAATTTAACCTAGAGTTCTGTGCCCAGCTAAATTATTAATTGAAGGTAAGAGTAAAATAAAGACGTCTTTAGGTGTGCAAAGTGTCCCAAACCCGAGTTCCGTGCACTTCCTCAGTCAGCTGTGGGAGGACGTGGCTGCCCCACGTCGCCTGCCAGCAGCTCGGGAGATGCAGCTCGGGAGCGGGGCCTGCAGCTGGCACTTCGGGGAAAGGGCCGGGGCTCCTTCCAGGGGAAGAGCTTCCCCGTGAGCACCGAGCGCAGCTAGTCCAGGTTGGAGTCGGAGGACGGGGAGGAGCTCCCGGAGGGACGGCTTCCAGGGAGGGGAGGCGGGGCGAGGAAGGTTAAAAGGAAGGATAAAAGTGTTTTTGACTGTACTACGAGTACTTTGGCGTTTCATAGTATGATGCTTTCAGAATGTAGAAGAATTGGTGATGGATACAGAAAGCAAATGTAAAAACAAGGTAATCACTTAATGACGCACATGGTAATTGGGACCACTTTTCCCACTGAGGATAACTCTTAATAGAAAAGCTAGATCAAAAATAAAACACATGCTGGAAGGCATCGGGCAGTTAGCTAGGTAAGGAAGAATAACTGGGGCAGGTTCCTGGAGAAGCCGGCCCCAGGGAGGTCAGCCCCTCGCGGGCACTGGAGCATCAGTTCTGTGGTGTTTTCAGATTAGGAGACGGAGGCGGGAGCTCAGCCTTGCTGGGGTGGGGGACTACCCTGGCCAACTCGCACCACTTTTGACGGGGGCCCCGCGGTCAGGGCGGCGTGGGTGCCAGCAGGCCCCCGCAGGGACTCCACTCAGCCCCAGGGCCTCCTAGCCCTCGGATTGGATTGCGGTGATTCTGGATTATTCCCCCCAAGCCCCAGGCAGAAACTAACATACATTTTCTCTGAGGGATAGAACATTGTCTTAGGACCTAACTTATTTTTAGAATTTGTAAATACAGTGTCTGGTGTGCAGCGCACAATAACCAGGCAGAGAGAGAGAGGACAATAGCGAGCACAGACCCACAGCAGCTCCAGATGCTGGGCCCGTCAGTCACAGACGTTGGAATGACAAGGGCGTCAAGCTGTAGATCCAGGAAGCTCTAAAATTAGGCCCCAAGCCAGAAAAATAAAAATGAATCTATATATAGGCATAGCATAGTAATGTTGAAAAATCAAAGATAAAGAGGAAAAGATTTAAAAAATCAGCTGGAGGAAGGAAAAAAGAGGAACAAATGGTGGAAAGTGGACGATCTGGCATATCTTTTAATGTTCTAAAAGGAAGGAACTCCGATCAGGAGTTGTAAGCCCAGTGAAGTACATTCCAAGAAGGAAGGTAAGAGAGGCTCCAAACAAAAGTGAGAAAATTTATTTTTAGTAGACCTTTATGATAAGGATATTTTTTAGCCAGAGCAAACACAGTCACAGATTGAAGGTCAAAAAATATTGGAAGGCATGAATTTTTAAAAGGTCAACATGTAGGTAAATGAATATTGACTGTAAGATGATAAACTGATGTCTTCTGGGTGTGTGTGTACATTTAAAATAGATAGTAACAGTAGCCCGTAAGCCAGGGAGATGATAAATAGAGTTAGTGTTGTTCTTAGGTTTTTGCATTTTCTGGGAAAGTGGCAAGAATGTCAGTTAATGTTAGACTTTAAGTCAGGGATTCTCAGTATAATCTAGGGCGGCCCACTTAGAGAATAGTAAGTATCGTATCCAAGTTAATGGTGAGAAAAGAATGTGATGAAAAATTACAAGTCCAAAAGGGAGCAAGAGAAAAGAGAGAACAAATAGATGAATAGGAAATAGTGACTTAGTAGCAGAAGCTCAAATACATCAGAATTACATTAAATGAAAGAGAATAAACGTGCCAAGGAGAGAAGAGAGAAACATTAAAGGAGAAGGTTGCCAGGAGAAGCCGACCGAGAACGGGGAAGGGTGGGAGAGGCGGGGGAGGGCCGCCGACCTGCATCTGCTTTCTTTGCGCACATCAGCCTTGTGCAGCCGTGTGAATGCCTCCCTCCAGCTCCGTAATGGGGGACGGGGGGAGAGCCCTGGATCAGAACAGGAGCCTGGCTCTGTGTCCAGTAAATACCAGAATCGCACTAAGGGAAGCAGGGACAGATGATAAGTAGTCCAAGTACCTCTTGGACGTGGTATTTTGACTCTGTGCCCTCTGGCTAAAGAAGAAAAAGTCTTTAAACTCATACAGGATTCCAGGGAGTAGGTTTCTTTTACCCAGTGGCCTGGGGACGATGCTAAAACTAACTATTGACCTAACTATTGGTCAAGTAAGTAAGTAGATTGTGAGTGATGACAGCCAGATTTCTGGGGAAGACTGGACGAGTGAGCCATCTGTTGAGTTGGGATGGAGGTACTGTGAATTTATAGTTGTGGGCAGATAGAGACAGGTCACGTGGGACGTGTGTGGTGTGGGTCTGTCCGAGTCCCCCAGACAGTGAGTACACTGAGCACCCAGATCTTCGTTTCTAAGTCCTGTGTTCCTGAGAAGGTACCAGGGCTCCTCGGAGACATGGCTGATTCTGAGACTGGGGCTGGGAAAGTGGGAGCTGAGCCTGAAGCAGCAGTGGTGGTGCCGGGAAGGACGAGTTCAGGGAAGGATGGGGACGTGTCAGGGGCACCCCCTGCTCAGTCTGTGATGTTTCGAGTGTCAAGATAAATAATAATAGTAATGAATTACAAACTATTGAATAAAGAAAGAATATACAAGGCCAGGCCTGGACGAGTGGATGAGTGAATGAATGAGCCCAGGAATGGTGAAGGCAGGCTCCTCGTCCCGTGAGCATGCCAGCTGGGAGGGGGAGAAGGGGTGGTGGCTGGCCTTAGAGCATCAGCGTTGACGAGGGTGGCCGTGTGGGGACCGCCAGGGCCGGGGCTGGGTGGGGTGGGGGCAGAGGGGGGAAAGCGAGCGCAACTGTAACAGCATAAACAATAAAATACAAGACAGAAATCCACCCACGCTGGCAGCCCATGGACTGAGGTACGTTTGGGGAGAAACCAGATGTTGGCACAGTCACACAGCGCCTCCCCGCAGCATTCGCACCAAGTACCAGGCGAAACTGTACTTCCTACCAGAGAAAGCTGGCAGGCGTCGCTGTAAGCACGGGACAGAAGTGGACCCTCCCCAGGAATAAGATAAATAGAAGCGCCCGGGGGACACAATGTCCCTTCTGTGGCATCTGTTCCCGACGAGTGTAACCTCAGTCTGACCACGAGGAAACATCAGGCAAACTCCAGTCTGGGGACCTGCTACAAAAAAGGCCGTTATTCTTTAAAAAGTCAGGTCCTGGAGGACAAAAGATGAAGTACGGTTTCAGATCGAAGGACGCTGAAGAGATGTGACGACCCCATTCCACACGGGACCCTGGGCTAAGTCCTGGACTAGCAAAGTCTTCTTAAAGGGACATTATTTGGTCAGTGGGCAAGCTGTGAAAAGGGTCTGTATGACTAGGTGGTAGCATTGCATCAGTGTGGATGCGGTGGTTTTTATGGTTACAGTTTGTAAGAGAACCTCTTGGTTTTTAGGAAACGTAAACTGAAGCACTTGAGCGATACAGGTCTGCAGCTACTGTCACCAAGTTTGGGAAAAGAAGTTCTGTGTGCGAGCTTGTGTGCCGTCTGTAAAGAGAGAACACAAATCTGGGGTCTTCTCCCCCCGTCCCACGGGGGGGCACGCACCCATCTCTGTCAGGCAGTGTCAGTGGTGGCTCTGGGTGGGTCTGGGGTGCAGCTAGTTAGTTTCTGGTCACCTCTGGTCTTGGCCATCTCCTGGGCGGGGGTTCTGTCCTGGAAGTATTGCAGCCCATCCCTCTGCCCCTCTAGCCAGACCTTGGGATCTAAGTGACACATTCTAAACATGCAGGAAGGCAAGGCCCCTCATGGGATTGTCATTCAGGGGTGCCTTGGCTGTTCTTAGCCTTCTGAATTTCCTGTGTTGAGATCTTAGAACTAACTTGGTGAGCTCCCCAGGCTCCCACAGTCGGCTCTCTGTGCCTTCAGCTGTGTGGTTTTCTTGCAGTTTTTCAGAAGAGCTGCTGGATGAAGCTCTGGGGTCCGTGACTGCTGAACTTCAGGATGTGTGTGAAGATTACGCAGAAGCTGTGTTCACCTCGGAATTCTTAGAGGCCGCTGCGTAAAGGCTCCTGCCCCTGGGGCCCTCGTGTCACGCTGGAGAAGGACGGCACCACCCTGGTTTTAGGCTACAGGGAATCTTGATCCTCAGCTGCGCACCCAGGCCCAGAGGTGCTGCCCGCCGGTGGGAAGGACGGACCGGTGAGGTCGTCCTCGCCGCGCCTTCCCGCCGTTACCGCAGTGGTTCTGTGGTTTGCGTTGGGGTGTGCTCTATTTATTAGTACCCAGGAGACATGAATCGATTATGACAATATAATATTTTCTGGATGTGTACTTTTCCTACTGATGTATTTATTATGTTCACCCACTGGCTCCGTGTGATGATGACAATGTTTTGAAAAGTAATTGGCGGGTATATTTCACACAGGGAATCCAGTTGCTCTTGGACCCACGGGTGGTGTCCATGCAACAAAAGTGCGGTTGCTGTCTGGTCCCATCACCTGGCTCAGGTGTCCATCTGTGGCCGTTTCCCAGCAGGACACCTGCGCCCCCTGGGTTATGGGCGGGGTGAGCCCAGGGTTAGGTGAGAGGCCAGACCTCTGCTCTGCTGCGGCTCGTTGGGAAGAGAGCCGCCAGCTGCCTGTGCACAACAGTAAACAGACGTTTCTGGCGATCGCTGCCCAGGGGGTGTTTCACGCTTCGGTCCCCCCGAGTCTCCTGTTCCCCGGCGGCATATTCTCATACACACGACTTTCTCTGAATTCAGGGTGGGCTGGCATTCCCTGCGCCTGGCCGAAGGTGCAGAGCTCACACTCATCCCTGGCGAGGGCAGACATTCCCACATTCCCAGAGTGCAGAGGGGCCTCGTGCGGGCGGAGGGAACAGAGGCGGATGGTGTGGGACCTCTGGGTCCCCAGAGAGGGGACGAGGCTGCAGAGCACAGCAGCTTGGTCCTTGCACACCGTCCAAGCTACATTTTACCAAGAGAAAAAGCCTCTGTGTTTTCCAAAATCCAGAAAAAGGAATGTGTAAAAAAAAATAAGGCCACTGCCCAGAAAAAGGTTCCCTCCATTCTTTTTTTTTTCTTTCTTTTTTTGTGCCCGGGGTGTGGGGGGTGCAGGGGTCTCGCTGTGCCGTGTGCCCTGTGGTCCGGGGTTTTCTCCGAAGTGCGCGTGTTCCAGGTGTAGTTTAAGCTGCTTGATCCCACTTATTTGTACAAAATTGATTTTTGTTTAATGTTAATGTTTTCTTGATTAATCTTATAAATAACCTCAGAATTAAAAAGGCTTCTAGGGAAATGAAAGGTTTTTAATTTGAGGAATTACATGTGTACATTTGAATTGATAGCTTAAAGTTATTTGTGTGGCAGTTTTTACTGTGCTGATTTTTTAAATAAACTCAATGATTTTAAAGTATGTGGGTGTCTGTTTGAAATAATTTACATCTTTTTTCCACAGGCAAAATGAAAGGTGATACACAAAACCCACTGAGAATACTTTTATATCTGATAGGAGCATAGCGGATTCTTTGCCACCCGTTACCCCCCCAGAAAGAAAGGAATGACCTCAAAAGTTAACACTTTGTGAGCGCACGCCGAGGGTCAGGCGCTGCTCCGAGTGCTTCCCATGTATTATGTAGCCCCTGGTGAGCCGGGTGCCATTATTATTCTCATTTGCAGATGAGTAAAAGGAGGCACCAAAGGGGAAATGTGATCAAACAAGCCTGCTGCCAGGGATGCCGTGGTCGTGGAGTCACTCATTCCCATAAAGACAGTCATTGAGGTTTTGAGAGTTCCTACGAGTGCCTTCTCCTGCCCTTGTCCCCATGCAGCTCGTCCCAGACGCTGTCAGGGGGAGCAGCCGCTTTCCCAAACGCTTCATGTCCACCGGAGGGTCAAGTCCAGGCTCCTTTGCTTTGTTTCAGGATCTGTCCCATCTCTCCTCCTCCTCTCAGAGGATGGGCCTCCCCGTGTCTGGTGCATCGTGGGCAAGGCTGACGCCTGCCTCCGTGTCCGGTCTGCTCTGTGGCCCCAAAGATGCCAGCAGCCGGGCACGTCCCGGGCCTCCAGAGGATGGGTTCTCCGTGAGCAGAGGCTGTGTGTGCAGGTCGCTCTCCAGCCTTCTCTTGCTCGTCACCTGTTCCTGTAGTATTTTCGGAAACGGGTGCATGGATGGAGCTGCCCCAGTTTACAGAGATGGTGAAATGGATGCTTCTCGCACTCCCCACTCTGACCTGCCCAGCTTCACAGTCCCGGTCCTGAGGGGGTTTCGACGTGTTTCGTGTTCGCCTCCAGTCTGTTCAGCTCCTCCAGGGCAGGGTCTCTGCCTACCTAACATGCAGCTGGTGCTCAGTAAGTCCTTTTGAGTTAGAGACGAAACAAGGCACACTTTTTCTTGGGGCGGGTTTAGGATAGACCCATCACAGCTCTGCGTCGCCTATAACAATCTGTGCGCACCTTCTGTGGCCCGATGCGGGACACCACCCATGAGGACCTGCAGACCCCGTCTCTGAGGTGTGGACGCAGTGGAACTCAGGCTCAGCACCTCAGGACCTTGCCTGCCTCCTAAACGAAGGGGTGCGCCTGGGGCCCCAGGCCGCTCCTGGCCCTGAGTGCCTCGGTTAGCAGACTGCAGCGTGGCGCGTGGACCATCAAGGCTTGGGGTGGCCGGGAACTTGAGGGAGAAGAGGACAGAGGTGAGTGGGACCGCAGAAACGACTGTTCTCAGGCTGGTGGTCCCCTCCCCCCCTGCCTGTTGGTGCTTCAAGCAGGGAGGCAGGTGTTGGGCTCAGGAGGGTTGGTGATAGAAGCCTTCCTTCTCCCTCGGCTCACAGAGGCTGCTGCACTGGGGGAGGCTGGGTCTGAGAGGCAGGCGAGTGGGGCTGGGTGAAGTCCCTGGGCTGGCAGGGGACGAAGGGGCTCCACAGAGAGAAAGTTACCAGTCGTGCCTGCGGCACAGTGTGAGCTTCCTCAGCTCAGGCATGTTTCTGAGAGAAAGTCTTATTTTAGCAGCTTGAGAGAGTGATGAGAGTTCCCTGCAACCCTGTAAACCAGAGGTGTCTGCGCCACACTGCCACACTGGCACTGTCGCCTTTAGAAGGGCCGGCTGCTGAGGGAGCTCGTGTTTCTCCAGGCTCTTGGAAAACAGCAGAAAGGCAGTGAGTGGCCTGTCTGCCTTCTTACCGAACACCAGCCTTCCCGTTTGGCTCTGCTGATTCAGAAGCAGGGCCGGGATGTGTTTTGACATGGGCGTGTTTACTCGGTGGCTGAGCCCAATAGCGTGGGCTGGGTCAGACGGCTTCCTACCACTCTTCAGTAGGGGCCCCAGGAACTCCCAGAGTGGGACCCATGGGCCCACCCACCGTCAGGCCCAGGTGGACTCAGTCACTGGTCACCGTGTGGGCCCCACCCTGACCCAGGGCCCACCACGCTGGTACCCGACTATCCCTGGCTGTCAGTTGTCCTGCGGTCAGACCTTCCGCTCACACCGTGGCTGAGGTCCAGGTCCCTCTCCTGCTGGCCTGCCCAGGGCCCTGCTCACTCACATCGGTCTTCACCGGGCCGGAGGCGTGGCTGCTCACCGTGGCTGCATGGGGCCCCAGAACTTCACACGCCCTCCTCGGTGAACCCCTTCATCTGCTGCTCTTCCTGTGGTAACCCTCACCCATTCTTCTTGAACCAAGCCTGGGACCTCTCCCCATTTCTTCTGACCTTTCCACCTATGACCTGACTTGGCTGGGGCCTGCAGCTGAGTCCGTTCATCCACTCCTGCGACCCTGTCTGCCCGGGCCAGCACCCAGGGGCTGTGTCCTGCGGGTGGGCTCTGCCCTGTCCTGCTGCTGTGAAATAAATAAGCACCTCCCACCCTGCCCCGACCTGGCCCCCCAGTGTGCCACGGGCCCTCCCACTCCCTTCGTGTAGCCAAGAGGAACCGCCCCCCTCTCCGTGCCCCCACTGCGGGCCCCTGGGTCTCTCCCTCTACCCGTTCCAAAAACCTTAAAATCCTTTGTAGAAAACCTTTAAAAGCCTAGTAGTTTCTGGAGTTGTTACCCCAACAGCTGCTTACCTTAACCCCCCATCTGGCACCCAACCACGAGCTGCACCCTCCCCCAGCCGAGCCTCCCTCGCTGCCTGCCTGCTGGGGCCTCGTCAGCATCTCCACTCCGCCTGGCTCCCTGCGGTCTCCCACCCAAGCATCTGTCCTCCGTCTTCACTCGGTCTTGGTGAGGGCAGCCAAAGCCCCCCCGCCCATGAGCTGCAGAGTCCTGCAGAAGGTGGCTGTGCCTGTGCTGAGAAGCCACTGCACCTTGCTGCCACCGGCTGCCGGGGCCTCAGGACCAGAGTCTGACTCTTCCCAGGCCTGGCAACCCTCTTGGGAATGACAGAGAGCCTTCCGGCTCTGAAATGCTGTGGTCAAGAGCAGCTGGAGCATCGACATCCCGGGTGTGTGGACTCTGCCATCTACCCCACAGCCCCAGGGTTCCCTAAGCCAGGGCTGCGTCTAAGCCAGGAAGCCCCAGCCAGCAGACCCTGGTCCTCAGAGGCGCACAGGAGTCCGGGTCCGGAGCTGGGGGTGAAGCTGGCCACTGGCATCGGTGCAGCTGCCGTCCTTTGCGGCCCCTTAGAGACCTTCTGGGGGAGAGAGTCCAACCACCAGGGCCAGGCCTGGGAGGAGGGTGGGTCCCTTAACCCCAGTTATTCAACACACTGTTTTTGGAGAGTTACCTAGAGACCAAAAGAGGCTAGGTAATGACACCACCCCACCCTTCGTCAGCATGTCACAATTCAAAAAATGCCTTTCAGTGTATTCCCTCTTAGGTCACTGTAACTGCCCTGTTTTGGGTAACAGCAGTAACTTGGGCTAATGAAGAATGTGAGCCACGAGTTAAAATCCTCCATGACCTCCATGCCTCAGTTTCCTGATCTGTGAAAGGAGTAATGCCAGGAGTGCCCACGCAGGTTATTGTGAGGACTAAGGGGAATGATCCACACAAACACCTAGACTAGCACCTGACACATAGTAAGTGCTCAATAAACACTAACTATGAAGTTTATCACTGAGAACCTTGTCAGAAGGAACCTCATGGCACATTCTCGCAGCCTTAGTTCCCAAGTGCTGGTTTTCTGTCTTCTTCTTCTCCTCGTGTTCTCTCCTGCTCATAATCCCGTCTCTCCTTGCCTTGCCCTTCAAACTAAGCACTTGGCAACCCATTTCCTAGCCATGCCATTTGGCTGCCCTGCCAACAAAACGCACCCGGCTGTCCACTGCAGCCGGCCTTCCCGGGCCTCCTCGGGTGAAGACACAGGGGACAGTGCTCCTACGAGCTCGCTCCGGGGCCTCCGGGGCCGCCAGGACTTTCTGAACTGGACCACATCCTGTGTGGCAGGCAGGCAACGTATTAACAGTGCCATTTTACAGGTGAAGAAATTGAGGCCTGCAGAAATGAAGAGACTTGTTCGGGGTCACGGACCCAGTGATGGAACCAGCCTCCATCTTTTGACTTTGAGCCTAGCACCCTTTCTGTTTTGCGACACACTTTCGTCTCTTAGATGGCCTAGAAAACCTTAGCAGATGTCAAGTGCAAGTCCAATCTGCATTTTTAAATACTCGCTATGGTCGTGCTCCATGCCAAGTGCTGTGCTTTCCTCTAGGGCATACAAAGATGAGTGAGATGCCTTTTCTACCTGTGCAGCAGAGCCTGGCCCAGTGGCCCTGTGGCCCAGAGCCAAGCTGCTGCCGCAGTTCCCGTGTCCTGCCCTCCTCTGCCACTCTCGTCCCCTGCTCTCCGGCCGGGGCCAGCCCTGCCCAGAACCCAGCCCAGAGAAGCTGATAATTGTTATCCACTGCCTGAACCCTGACTGAGTGCTTTACTCACGTGATCTCATTTGATTCGTACACCAACTCTGGGACAGAGACCATGAACCCGTTCTAAAGACGAAACCGAAGCCAGATGCGGTGAAATCTCCCCCAGTTAGAAAGTGGTTGTCATTATGTCTGACTACATATTTTGCCCTTCCCAGTATACCGCAGCGGCTGCCCTGGGCCCGGCATCCACCCCGCTGCAGCCCGGCTCTTCCTCCCAGCGCCTGCCACCTGGGGCTGGGCTCGCCTGTGTCCTCGCCTCCTGGGCCAGGGCCATGTGCTGAACTGGATGCACATGCTCGTACCAGCCCCGGTCCGGGCGGTGCCTGGGCTTGCGGGGCCTGCCCAGCCCCGTTTTGCAGATGGCCTCTGCTCCATGCAGGCCAGCCTTGGGGGTAAAGCCAGTGTCCCGGGCCCTGCAGTCGAGTTTCCTCCTGTCTCCTAAAGGCACTGTTCTCTGGCAGCCCCTCCCCACAGGGTGGCCAGCTGGGCCCAGCAGCCCGGCCTGACAGTTTGAAATTCCGCAGCCA